TATCAGACTTGCCAAAACTTTTCCCACAACTAATGTAAGACTAATGGGTCTATAATTAGTAGGACAAATTTTATCAATGCCCTTAAAAAGAGGAGTTACATTAACTAACTTCAAATCCTCTGGTGTCTGCCCACTATTCAAGGACTGACAAAAAATTAGTTGCAAGTGGCTCACATATCCAATCTTTAAACTCTTTCAAAACCCTTGGGGAAATATTATCTGGCTTAGGAACCTTATTGTTCTTTAAACTTCCCAATTTTTCTTAACTAGCTCAGAATTAATGCAGTCATCTTGTTCGACCTTGTTTCCAAGTATCAACTGTTCAAGATGTTGAACCTGTTACTTAGAGAAATATTCTAGAATCTGACTATTCAATTGTTCTATTATCACCCAAGATTTGATTTTTCATTTACAATTATCACAATCATCATAGTCTGATAATATGTGTCTTTGAACTGAGAAGTTGTGGTCTAATAAATACAAACGTTTTTGCTAGTACCCTGCTCAAAGATTATGTGGACAGTCACAATAAAACTTATAAACATAAATAAAATGCATAAATCTCTCATAAAGCTGTATCATTTTAGTACAGCTAATTCTGAAAACTATCATTTGAAGCTCTGAATTTATGAACTGTATCCTGTTTTTACAATTCATGTGAATTGATGTATCATGAAATTTAACTAATGTCAAATTTTCACGCCATATGTGAATAAGAAATTTTGCATCATGTAACACTACTTATAAAATAATACTAAATAGATAAAATTATATATGCACCCAAAACTTGTTTAATAATGTACACATAATTGATTTTTCAAAAAATCCTTACATTGCTATGAAAAAAATAGACTTGCATTATATTTCATTAGTTGCTTTTGAACTACTTAAAATATATTCTGAAAATTAAACTGCACAGATGTGTGGTATGGAATAAAAAAATTAGATTAATCTTTCAAGTACAAAGGCCTTTCAAAAATGGGAGAATTCATGAATGTATAATTTACTTACTAACCAATGCATTAATGATTTAGCTTATCAAATTATCATTGTAAATAACCTACAAACCTTGTGATGGTATTTCAATAGGAGCACTCTTGTCGATGCTTCCTGATGCTGCTGTCTCTCCATTCAGATAAGCAAGTAAGTCCTACACACAACACATTCACACATCTGTTAATTAAATAATGGAACACATTTTTTCAGTCTTTTCCACATCTTATTGCTATTTTACATTAGTATAAATAACCAGTGAAAGTCACATTTCAAAATAAAAAGTAAAACACAAGCTCTTTCAGAAATTGTGAAAATTCTTATTAACCTACTATTATACAAGTTATGAAAATACCCTGGAAAAAACGTTTTCTGTAAATTTCTTATATAAAAAGTTTATATTACAAACAAAAAATATTTTTGTGAAACAGATTTGTGTTAAGTTATAAATAAGTACATTATTTAGAAGTAACACTGTTCAATTGAGGAACCAACAAATATATTAACATGCCTTATTTTGTCTGCTACCTGGAATTAAGAGCATTCAACTGCACAACTGAAGCATTTGTATGTGTATTAAGCAGCCAAGATAGATTTGTTACCTGTACATTACAATGTGCGATAGAGGGTTAATGACATGTTTTTTTTCTGTTTACACAGTGAGTGTTATCACATGCAAGCTTTATATTTTAAATATCAGATATCCTTTGCCTTACTGAACAGAATTAACCTTTTCAAATTTATCTATAAAGAAAATATTCATTAAATGTCTCAACATGCTCAAATTAACACAAATAAGTATGTTTAACCACTGTTAAGATATAGAAGCTTAACAGGAGCTCTGAAAACCATTACTGAAGTATAATATGATTTATGTGCTATTCTATTATTTGACAGTATAAAAATATTTAAGAGAACAAAACTATCCTATTTTTAAAATTTGCATTTTTGAGATACAAAGCAGGTGTATAATATGATTTTAAGTTAGTTATAATACCAGAGGATAAATAATTTGAAGTTCACAGTATAATCTTTTAACTGTGCATAATAAAATTAAAAACAATAATAAATATAAATTGCATACATTTTATATCCTTACATAAAGATGAGGAAGCTTTGTGAAGGTGTAAAGTTGATTTGAATAAAGAGTAATTTATTCCTTCATTTTAACATATTTACTGTAGTGTTTGAGGTATCCATTTTAGTTGATTCTTTTCTAATTTAACTTCTGTTTTATTGGCCACAGGTTACATTTGAACTCAACACGGAGTTAAGTACAATAATTATTCTTTTCACAAAGTCATTAGACAGTTTAAGAAACTGTAAATGAACTGAATGAGAAATAATTGTTATTCCTAAATTTATTATGTATATGAAAATAACCTATATTATATTATTATAAAATATATGTTGACACAGCATCACTACTTGTGTGGCAGACTAAAATGACTCACTTGATGTGCAATGCACAGTTTGAATTAATATTTAAACTAATATAATATAATATCCTAATAACTATGAGCTACTGATCTTAAAGTGATAGTGTGTCAACTAGTTTAAATGCTGCATCACTATAAAACAGAATAACATTCATGACATCAGAAAAACACTAGGTTCAAAAAGCCTTAACATAAAATGATAAAAACCCTATAACACTAGCTCTTTCAAAAAGTGGACCTTTCTTCTTCAGGAGCATATTTGGAATGGTAGTGTAACGAAATGAGTGATATATAAAAGTGACCTTCATGACATCACTCAACTCCCTTTATATATCACTCATTCAGTTACACCACCATTCCCAGATTGCCCCTGAAGAAGAAAGGTTCACCTTTTGAAGGCTCTCGGGTTATAGGGTTTTTATCATTTTATAAACAGAATAACAAACTGCCATCATTTGAAGTTATTCAATAGTTAACATTTTCTAACACCAAAAATGTACTTCTGATAACTACTTATCTCTCTTCACCCAAAGCTATCTTGACCTTGATTTGCCCTCTAAGCACTGCTAAAATTTTGAACAGCACACCAGTCTTTTATACCCCTTCATTTTTGCCTCATTGCAGCAACATGTTACTCCAGATACTTGACACTTTCTGAGTTTTGTATAATTGAATTATTATTCATATTGTTTTTAATAGATAAATGTTTGCAAGGACAATTCTCATAAATTATTGGCTCATTTAAAATTATTCGACTGGATTTTATTTTATAGAAAATCTCATGTAAATCATTTCATTTATATTTAAGTATAATAAATTTTCATTAAATCACCCTCTCATGTATTTTAAATCATTGTTAATTTTTTTTATGAGCTCATCATCAGAATTTCAATTCTAAATTAATACTGAGTCATCTGCAAAACTTATTTCTCCATTAAACCTACTTTCCAAGAAATCATTTAAATATATTAAACATATTACTGATCCTAATACTGATCCCTGAGGTACTCCAGCAATTAAATTATTTTCATCACTTATAACATTACTTATTTTAACTACTTTTTTCTGTTAAATATATATAACTTAAACCAATTTAAAACTATACATCTTATCCAAATTATATAAAGTGTTTTGGTAAAAGTTCTAGTGAAATCGTGTCAAAAGCTTTTGATATATCTAGAAAAAAACCATATGTTATTTTACATCATTAATTGATTGATTTAATTTATTAACCACTGTAATAAAGGCATCTTCTGTATTTATATTTTCACGATATCCAAACTGACAACTTAAGAAAAAATTTATTAAATCTAAAAATTTTATCATTCTTTTTTTTAACAATCTTCTCAAGAATCTTTGATATAACTGAAAATAAAGCAATCGGTGTGGAATTATTTAAATCATCTTTATTTCCTCTTTTTAATTTTGGTATAATGATAGCAATTTTTAAAATATCTGGGAAAACTCATTTTTTTCCATTGACATATTAACTAAATACGTTATTAGCAGTGTCATTTTTTCAATATTAATTTTGATAATTTCTGCTGCAACTTTATCTTTTCCTGCAGCTTTTCTATTTTCTAAAGAGTTTATAGTTTTTTTATTTCATATTCATCAACTGGTATAAGATACATTGAATTAGCAGATATTAGTTTTATAACTTGTTTCATCTAATTGGTCTGTATTAAAATAGTTACAAAAATGTTTACTTATAAGTTCCTTTGCAATATTTACAAAGTAATCATTAAATGAATTTACATATAATATGGGTTGTTCAGAAATCTTAATGTGTTTATTCTTTACTGTAATGCTTTCAAACATTTCGGTGCATTGTGAGTGCTTTCCTGTAATCTTTAAATAGTCAATAAAGACTACAAAGGAGCTAACTTGTGTCAAATGTTTTGCACTGTCTTTGAATTCACAATGTAAAAGGTGCAACCCACAGCTTTCAATATCAATGAGCTTTGATTTGAAGTCCTATTCCAGATTTTCTAAGAATATTTTGTGGAACTTCTAATTTACATTGGTCAATCCATTGATAACTGCAAATCACTGGACAAAAATCACTTTTTAATTAGCTATGCTTTATCAAGCTTTTCCAATATCTTACATGAATATCCATTTGCTTGCTTTTGATTACTTTGTTAAGCAATTTGACAAGTAAGACTTGCTCTTCAACCTTTTTCATTTGATCAACTTTTTTTCTGACAATGTAAAAAACTGTGCAGCTGGGCTGTCCTTATACATGGCTTTACAAATGTCAGATACTCCAGCACATATGAGAAATTAAAAGAAATAACTTTCACCACCCCAAGTATCTCCGACTAGAGCACAATGCATCCTATCATAGCCTATAAGGATACACTGGTATTTGCTGCTCTGTGACTTGGAAAAGTAGCCTAAGAAGATGATTTTACTGCTACATTACTTGTTAAAATAAGACACTGGGATAAGCAAAGACTGGAATGAACAATGAAGTCCAGCTATTATTTATTAAGCTAAAAGTGTTAATAAAAAATGTTATATTTTGATCTAAACTAAATTAAGACTAAAATCTAAATCAACTTTTACTGCAGCTTAATACCATATTAAAGTATATCTAATTAGAATTAAGAAGTCTAAATCTACACTTCTCTGTTAGATTTAGACTTCTTAATTTTAATTAAAGTTAAAGATATCAAAGAAATAAGTGCTATGAATAGATCCATATCTAGCTATAAGCTTGCAATGTTAATTACACCTGTCAAGATCATCCTAGTGCAAAAGGGTCCAAATTGCTGGTTTATGTTATTGCTGCACTATTTTCCATTTCAATGTCATAAAACAGCTGATTAACCATAGTGCTGTCATAAACTTGTAACATTTACATTCTATCCAGGCCATGCCAATTACAAGTGCCTTAATATTCTGGGTCTAATGTAATACACAGGACTAGGCCAAAAATATCTGTCAAGTTCTGCAATTCACAGATAAATTTTACAGCAAAATCTAAACCACTGTCATGTCTTACCTTTACCATTTGAACTAGACAAATCAAAGAAGGCCTGAATGCACATGCTGCTTTTCTGATAATGCCATTCCTTTGGCATGTTTTCCACTACTATGCAAAAAAAAAACTGACTTGCCCATATTGTCAATATCAAAATAAGTTTTGCATGACATAAAGTAAACCCTGTGTACATTATTATCTTCTCCCAACCAATCCTTAAAGTCATCATGTTTTAACCTCTCCCTTTTCAATTTAAAATTGCGTGGCATTTGTTTATATTTCCACAAATAAATGAACAATGTCAAAGCATGTTCACAGTAGGCCTAGTGCCATGTGCAATAGTAAAGATACACATATCTTTAGCTTTGTCTTGAATATTGTAATCCTTTGTACAGGCTCTAATACAGAAATGCAAAGTCAGACTCTAATACCAATATAAGTAGACCTAGAATCTATACTCAGATGAAACTACAATCAAAGAGCACGGTGGAAACAAAGTTGAACATGAGACATTCTGGTGACCAGTTGACTGTTTCTGCTAGCTGACAAAATGCTTGTGAGATTTTGTGTGGAACATCTTGGGCACTTTCCTATGGAAAATATGTTTTCGAAATGTTTCAAAATATTCCGGAAAACCTTTAGTAGTTGCAATTGGTAAGATTTGTTTCCTCTTAATAGTATAGGCCTAACTATTGAAGTGGCATGTTTATGAAAATAAACATAAGTCTAATAAACACTTGTACTTGATCTCCAGTGGTCTAAAAAAATTCCAAGACTCTTCTAGTACTTAAAATTAAAATGCAAAAAATAAAAAATGCAAGTTTTTCCAGGAAATTTAGAATGGAACAAAAACTCTGCAGAATTTCCAAGACCTATGCAAACCCTGAATGATAACCTTCTTGTAATTACTAGCTTATAAAAGTAATTAAAATATGTTTTGTTCTATGAACTCTGACTGTCTCATTAATTCTCATGTAAACTTAATGAGTTGACAATCTGTGTGAAATTGCCACTGACTGCATATTCTTGGTATTTCAAATATTATTTGTAATGGGTTGTCAATTCAGCAGAAGAATCTAAAATATGGCCAGTTACAACACAGAAATTAACAAACTAGAAGTAGTTGCTCCACAGTATCTTCTACAGGAAAACAAAGTTAAACAAACAACTAGTTCTCACCTTTCGATCTGGTCTCCTTACAACAGGTATGTATTCTGCCTGAAAGAAACAAACACAAAAAGTTAAGAGGAATACATACAATTATTAACTTTTAACTTCACATTCAGTTTAATTCTTGATCCAGACTCACTATACTATTAAACATGATTTACATGTCCAGCTTTTCTATAACAGATGTTTCCATTTACAACGCCTGCTAATTCTCACCTTTAATGCCTAACTCCTCCATATAGGTAGCAGAGATTCCTAAATTATAATTTTCCAACACTTTCACGTAATAGCACAATTTCTGCTGGCCATTTAGCATTGATACTCCTATCTACCACATATTTAACATGGTACAGCTGCATATGTAGCATGCAAATAAGCATGTGACAGTCCTTCAACAATAGGAATGCTACACACCCTCCTGGCCTAGCTGGCTCCATCTATACTTCAAGATTAGGCAAAAAAGAAGCACCAGAAGTGGGAGAGGAGGTAAATATCTATCAGATATACATTTTCAGTTTAGGAAAATGTTAACTTCCAACATGATAGCTTACCTCCTCTCACATAATACCTATAATCCCACAATGAAAAGGTGGAGGGACCGGTACAAGTTTACCTAGATGAGCACCTTTCGGAAAGTATCCAAAGAGAGCCCATGGAGTGTGAAACCTCAATGGATGGGGTCACACCCATGGGAGATCACGCCACATCTGTACCAGGTATACTCTTCCTCCTTGTGAAAATACATTTTACAAAATTGAGTAAAAAGGATGCCCATCCAATGAATAATTGGACATGCCAAAATGGTGTAGAATGGCTAGAGCATATCAGCCCATTTTCAGTGGGTCAACTCCAGTCTAAAACCAGGTGGCATCAGGTATTTATCATCCGGTCAGCAGTAAGAGGAGGGTCTCCACCATTTTCACCTCTAGACTAGGAAGCAGAAAGGAAAAACAACTTCCATCCTACCATCGTAGCCAGAGCACGTATGCAAACTCAATACACATCTAACACCAGGCCACCCATGAACTCGACATCTGAGCAATGGTAGGAAGGGACATGCAATATGGTGGATGGGTCAACTCCAGTCCAAAACCTGGCAGCATTGGAAATCTATCATCCAGTCCACAGTAGGAGGAGGATCCCTACTAGCTACATGTGTGAGGGCTTATGTTTGCTAGTCCTGCTCTAATCCAACACCAGACTACACAGGAATCAACATCCAGCCAGAGGAATTTTTCATTCATTTCACTGTAGGAGGAGGGTTCACACCATCTCCCTACTCTCAACTGAGTGGAATTGAGCACACCCAAGAGGTTGCTGTCATGGTCCACCACCCCAGCAGATCGGAGCTGGTAAGAGGCAAGGATTTCCATACTCCACTCAAAAGGGGGGACAATATGATAGGAAATCTGGAGGAACACAACATCAGAGAAAGTGCAATGGGGGGACCATGAAACCCTATTTTTAAAAGCAGGCGAGGCCCAATTTATTCAACCAGGATTAGAGGAATGGGCAGCTATCCTGACACTGTTTTACTCATGATAGTCCATGAGTTGGTACAGTCTGGGATGGTCTTTAATTATGAAGCAAAACACCATGAGAAAACCTCTAGTGGTCTTGTGGAACACCCAATCTCAACAGTTAGCATTACAGACCTTAATGGCCATACAACGCAGCTTTATGGATTAGTATACCTGGATAGGCACTACTCACCACAGTTTGGGATCCAATGAGTATGCCATTATAATGTAAATAAAGAAACTGAAAAGACTTACCTACTCACAGTTGAACTGATAAGCACAGAATGGCAAGGGATGGTAAGTGGTGTCACGAGGAGGAGGAGATGATGAAGATGATGAGTGATGAAAGTGTGTTATGTGGTTCACGTATCAGTCTGGATGATCTCGATTGGTTGACGGAAGTGGGCAGCCAGGTAGACGGTGGAAAAGACCAAAACAAAAGAGAGATAGGATAAGAGAGGAAAAAAACAAGGTATTGGATAAGACTGCCCCATAAACAGTAACAGTAGAAACAGAATAACCATTGTTAAACAGCCAGGTAAAAAATTCTGAGACAAGGGGAACACTAGGACAGAAAAGAAAGTAACCATGGCACAGAAACTAATGGCGGAAAATGTGCCATTTACCCTGATAAACATTTAAGGATGAAAGGCAGACTTACTGGGAATGAAGGGATGCTACAGATGTGGAGAGTTCAGACTGCCTTGCAAGGAACTAGACAAATTCCATGTATGAAGCCAGAGTATGGCAATGGCAGGATGACATGCAGACAACTGAGGTTACAGAAAAAGGGAAACGGAAAGTGGAAGTTGTAACAGTTGGAATAACTGAAGGAAGGTAAGAATTGAAAACCATGTTTGAGCAAGCCAGAAAGGGGCAATGAGAAGGACTCAACATGGAGTGGTTTGTACAAAGGATAAAACCTCAGTATAGAAGGTGGATAAGAGGACAGGCTGAATATATCTACTGCCAAAGCCAAAGGATTTGGAACCAGGAATCAAAAGAGGAATTGAAGCAAGTGACAAATGCATCCAGAAGTACCTCACTGGGTGCACAACCATCAAAACATCTGGAGATCTAGGGATCACTTCGTGGGGAGAATCTTGATAGATCTGCAATAAGATTCAGAGCACCCAAGACATGACATGTCAGTAGGCTTATAGGATATGAATGGGCCCAGAGGAGGAGTTCCAATATTCAAAAACAAAGCCAACATGACCAAGTGCCCCCTTGTTGATTAATGTAAGAGAGAACAGTCAAATTGTTGAAATGGATCATGACCAATTTGCCTCATACCAAAGGTAGAAAATTATCTGAATCTTGATGAATGACAAGTAGCTCCAGAAGATTGATTGCAAAGATAATATGACCAAAAACCAATGACCTGCAATCTACTGGGAATCCATAAACACCCCCAACCTGTCAGAGAAGCATCTGTAAAAAGACGCAACAAGACATACTCTTAGCCTAGAAGGAAAGACAAAAGAGCCTCAAGAGTCACAGGGATAGGTGGAATTTTAGCATGACCAGTCGACCACTAGCATACAAGTGGTTGGCAAACCAAGAAGTGGTGTGGTTAGGGCATAATTAGACCATACATTGTATGTTTGACCTCAATTAATCTGGACAAACAGAGACAAGGGTTATGAACCTATCCCAATACAGTAGGAGTGCACACTACTTATTTAAGCAGTGACCCACACTACACAAACAGTGCCACAATGTCCCTATTTCCATCATATTGCACTGTACACAATCAGTGAGGACCTCTCCAAGGCACACCAGCCCAATGACTAGGAACTGATAAGTTGGAAGGATCTCCCATGCACCATTTGAAAAAGTGGGGATGAGAATTTGCATTGGGGAGACCCAGAGAAATGCCCAGATCCCTAAAGGAAGAGAACGGCAGATGGACCAGTGTTTAAAAAAACACCACTTCCATTGATAGATGAGCAGAGTTGAAGAACAACAGGATTGGAATAAGAAAAAAAAGACTACATGGTCAAAGAGGTAAGCCCTGTGGCCAATAAACCAGACAAATTGTGCAAGTAAAGATGAAGGGATGACAATTTGGGAAAAGAGAAATGTACATGGTTGGAGCAAAAAGAGAGCTGGAACAGGAGAGAAAAAAGAGAGGGCCCAGATGCTAATTGACGTAGCACAGAAAACAATGGTTGTGCTGACCAAGGAGGCATCACCAACAGGATCTGACAAGAAGTGTTGCATACCAAAGTAGGGAATTGAGGGAGAAGACAAAGAGGGTACATCTACAGAAAAAGGTGAGATCAGTCATGGCTGAGAGCACTGGCCACCAGGACTGAAGGATGAGGTACTAGGAACCAGTTCACATTAAATACATCTTTTTTAGGTGGGAGAGAAAGAGAAATCAGATTTATTTCTAAATTGTAACATCTCCTTCCAGTGAGATTCATAAGACATAATGTTCAATTCAGTGCCCTACAATGTTTTTAACCCTATATTATTTCAATTACCTGAATGGTATATTTGTCGTTTTTTGCAAAAATGTTCAACTTTTTCAATACCTAAACTTCAAACACTCAAAAATATGGTTTATAGTAACATATTGCACCATAATATTAAATTTTAATTTCTTCTTAGCCTGCATTTACATTCACAAGTCAACTTTTCAAATATGTCAATTTAATATATATAGTTACATACAGTTATATACATATATAGTTTTGTGTGTTGTATATAATTTTTTAACAGAATCTTATCTGTATCTAACCAGCAGAATCAATCAGTAGTTACTCAAACTATTACCACTACTGCTTGAATTAAAATAAGAACTTTTAAAGTAACCATACACTATGGTTGCATATAAAAGGGATATAAAAAAATGAAAGCAATTCTGAAATAATCAGAAAGTCCATAATTGATAAGACTTAAGAGTAGATAAGTCTGTTACTTTAAGAATATTTGATTATGCATTATTAATGTTCAATATTGCACACATCGCTTGACTTTGTCATTTTGATGAGAGGTATTAAACTGTTTAACAGTCAGTTCAATCTTTTTTATTGTCTGATGCATTTCTAAGGCCAAAACATTTAAGTGTAAAGAAAGTAATTACAAGTGATTGCACGATAATTCATTTAGCTTGCACAATAAATAATTGTTATAAGAATGAAGAAAGTAGTTAAAAGTATTTGCAAAATGTTATTCTATTCAACATAATAAAAATCATGTGCAAAAAAATTGTCATGTACTTCAAGTAAGCTTCTCTAGTTTCAAATTTATATAGCCATAATAAAAGCCAGGTTTCTTATTATAAAATTATGAAAGATGCAATATCCATTATTTAGGAAGATCCGTAAAAGGAACCTGTTAACATTCTCCTTATTCTGAAAAATATTTTGCTTCTGTTAATCCAAAGCTGTTCATATTAACATAATCAAAATAAGCTCTTTGTTGGCTATACTACATTGTATAATTCAATGCAGAAAGATATTATTAATACTCACTGCTGCTTGTCTGACATACACTGGATGAGACAAGTGGATATTTTTTAAAAGAAAGAGTAAACATTCCAAAGTGTAGTACTCTTTTGAAGTACCATCTTTTCCACATCTATGGTAGATGAAAAAAAAAAAGAAAAAATATATGAATAAAGTATAATTATAAAATCAAGAAAACATTTCAACATCATCTTTATGCATAATTCATTGACAGTAGTTTTTTGGTGTTGAAACAATTAAAAACGTTCATCATTCATGAAGCAAATATTTACAAATATTAAAAGAAATCTACACTTTTTTACACAAAATGTACATGGCATTTAATATAAATATACATCATCAAATCTTAATGTGTCTTTACAACATGCAGTTGCCATCCATTCTACAAAGTTTCATCATTAGTTATCCTGTTTGGAATGTTACTTCTGCATTATTTAATTTCTTAATAATATAGATAACATTTACATGAATATTTCACTGTACATGCTATTTCTTTTTTCATACATATTGTTACGACAATAGAAGTCGCGTGACGCTGGGAGCATGCGCTGGAGTTCTAAAAAGATCGAGGAACCTGTCAAACATCCTGCCGTTTGCTAGACATGCGCTCTTATAGTATATAAGCCAGCAAATCGCGTGACGCTGGGAGCATGCGCTGGAGTTCTAAAAAGATTGAGGAACCTGTCAAACATCCTGCTGTTTGCTAGACATGCGCTCTTATAGTATATAAGCCAGCAAATAAAGTGATGGGAGAGAGAATTGCAGACAGAGAGAGATGGACAATTAGTCAAGCACGGTAGTGACCATAAATAGAGTGCATGAATTGTTGTGAATTATAGCGTGTGTTTAAGTTAAAGTGACTGTGGAAATTAAGTGTATTGCAAAGTTGTATTGAGAAAGAATAAACTAGTTTTATTTAAGAAAGGACTTGTGTCGCTGAAGTTTCTGGGAAAGAATTTCTACGGAAAATTAACAAACAAACAGAGACGTAACAATATATATATATTGTTCATCTGAACTTTCAATGTACATCTCTTTGTTTCTCCTTTCTAACTCAATACTTCATTGCTATATAACATATATTTATAACAGATGTTCATGTTTTTTCTGACCTGTAATGTATTCTACCTGTATATTAGTCCTCCAGCTGTAGTTAATTGTATTACAGAGTTGATATTTTCAAGCACAACATTAACAATCCATAAAGTATAAAATGTATAAGCTATAAGGTAATATTTCTAGACACTCATGTTATTTTGATTTTTGTTATTATCTCCTGTTTGCATTAAAAAACATCTATATCATTAGTATAATTCAGTACCCACATCTCCTTCACCCTTCCTAACTGTCAAAACCCAAACCCCAACACCATTACTGCAAGAAAAGTGAGGCAACTGAGGGATTTTTGTTTCTACAATTGAAAATAACTTTCATCAGGCTAAAGGAATACTGATAAAGATGTCCACTGAAGGAAGAATCTTCAACTGTTGTAGATCTGTTCAAAAAACTGTGGTCCTTAATCAATTTTGTAAAAAAAAATAAAAAAATAACAAGTTGAAAGCAATCATTACTGTAATTTAAACTCTAAAAATGGAAAGCAATCTTTCTTTAGAGTATGACTTACCAAAGTTACCTATAAAATATTTACTCAAAATATGATTGTTAAACATAAAATGTTCTACATTTCTGTAATGGATATAAAAGTTAAAAGCTCATCATAGAATATGTGAAAGCAAAGAATTATCTTTAATTTTCTTGATGAGTAAAGGTTTAAAGGTTCATTACATGACTTGTGATAGAAAATGGCTATTTTTATGAAAAAATCTGTACGTGGACAAATAAATAATTTTTTTTCCTTGATGCGGTAGTCAGGTTGGTTAACATGAATTATTAGACTTTAGTCTACATGTACATTGTTTATGAGGTCAATTACCAAATTTAGGCAAAACAAAATGTTGAACTTTTGATAACAGTTCTAGATACTTGTATATATTTGTTAAAAATTTCTTTTTCACCAGAGGTAAAATTGAAAAAAGTCCATCTGCTGTGGACTGCATAACCTTATTCACATATCTAAATTAATTTAGGTTACTATATGGTGAAGTTAAATGGACTCAAAACCCAACTGTTCTAGATACATGGTTCTTACATTCACTTCAACCATGGTGTTATAAGTTTAAGAGATGCTTGTTGATTTATTCACTTCTTGCATAAATATATTTTGTGCAATGCTTGTGCAACTAAAAGACAGTAAAAGTTTGAAGGAACTTTCTTAAATGTTTTTTATTTCTTATAGGGTTTAGCTAAAAGAACAATTAATACACTTCTTGTTTAAATATATTCTGTACAATACTTGTGTAACTAACATATGGTTATAGTTCACAATAACTTTCTTAATGTGTTTTCAGTTGTTAATTATTTAATTATATATTTTGATTGTCATTATCTTTACAGAAAAGACAAATATTTTTATCAAAAACACTTTCTGATGCATTTATTTTCAGGCATAAGCTTCAGAAGGTTTTTAAGATTATAAAAATGAGTATCTATGACTAGATAAAATCTATACTGGCAGTATTTATTTTAAACTATGTACAGTTTGAAAAGAAACTAATTTTTGATAACAGATTTGATGATCACTGGCATGTTTTGAATGGGTAACAGAATCAATGCTGTGTTTAATGTCACCTATTCAAGGTTTGATCACATTTGATTGTGACCTATACAAAGTGATCATATCTAAAATAAATGTATCAGTGAAAATGAAAACACTGAACAGTGGTCATTTGAGCTGTTTCCAGCCTCTTTAATGCAAGGAAATGCAAATCTTCTGGAGGTTCCAACTCCTCCCCCCAGACTCCCCATGATGACATCACTGATGCCCTAACTAAAATCTTAGATGAAGCCCTTATTACTCTCAGAATCTTTGTTGATATTATTTACTTGTATTAACATAAAGGCTTTTATATCTATCTATATTTTTGTGTGTGTTTGTCTATTTACCTTTATTGTATTTTAAAGTTTTGTTCTATTCTGTAAGAATATTTTTGCTTTGATAATTTTTTGTCATATCTACTAGAAATATAACAACCTAATGTACAGTATTGTGCTGCTCTAATTTTAAACACAATTGTATTTGTTATGGTATTTACTGTAAGTTAGAGTATTTTGATTTGTAGTAAACATTTCTATCTCTAAATATCACTGTCCAGTGTCATCTGAACTTAATATTATGATTCCACAAATTGAAATTAGGTCAAATATAAAATTTAAATATATACATCTGGCCAAATTTCTAGATAATTAATTTAATTGGTCTTAACCATTCCTTTTACAATTGATGGTGAAAAGATTAATGATTTCCTAGCATGCTGAAGGACATCAAAAACCTTTTCTTTTTATATTAATGGGACTACCCTAATGACCTGGGTAACTTGAAGTTTTATAATAATAACAGAAAAATGAACAACTTGAACTCAGAACTGATTGTCATGTAAAACTGTTAATTCATTTTTGTATCTTAAAATTGTCTGTTTCACATAACTGTAATAGAATAAAACAACTTAGAAGGAGATACTGAAAAGTACTGATTATTGTGTTTGTCAATGCTAAAGAAATTACAAATCTGTTACAATTAGGAATAATTATAACATTATCTCAACTACTTGGATAAATAAGTATATCTTATCAGACCTACTGGTAGAGTTACTTAGTACACTACACATGTATTGTTCATAGCTGAGTAATGTTACTTAGCTCAAAATTCTGGTGCATATTTAATAATAATAAAACCTAAAAGATGATCAAAGACTCTGAAATTTGATGTTAATGTTACCAAGCATAGAATTCATGGCTGTAGCAAAACAAATTTTCAGTTCATTATTAATATCATCTTACACTTTACATTTGGCCTTGGTTCAATGACAAACTTTAAAAAGTCAAGGATAATGGAAAAAAGCAAACTGTTAATTACTTGTTACTTAAAGTTACACCAAGTTATTGTCTTACTCTTATGATCTTTGTTATTTATTGATTTACACAAATCTTAACTGCTGTTACTACTACAAGTTCTTTGTAACTAATATGCTAATAGCACTAATAAACTACTAGTAATCGATAACAATACTCAATTTTCATAGAAAATAATAAGCATAATATAGAGTATTGTTCTATTTGTATTAACTATTACTAATAGTGATACTATACCACTATTACTATTATTATTACTGATTACTAGCAGTAGTATTAATATTAGTAATATAACCAGTAACATGACGTTGGTTATTATAACTATAACTTGTATAACAATATAACTGATTCTAATTGGCATATAATACAGTGGTGACTGCTAGCGACATATAAATTATAACTTTTAAATTCAATTTTGAGTATTTTGTAACCTAGTTTTTGTCTTGTGTTTTATTGTAATTATATATAATACTCATCAACTCAGCACTCTATATAGTTTATATCACTCACATACCCCCATAGTAAGTAGTTAGTATTCACAGTTTTGGGCCATGAATATTCTCCAAATATTATTTGATCATTTCTTTCAATTATTTCCTTCTTATTAACGTTATACTGACGCAGTAAACTTAATGGGTCAGCCATTTTACTTAATCTGAAATACGACTATTCCCAAAGAATTATGGGAATAGCCACGCACAAACGTAGAACTAAAAATCAAAAGTGGTTTATCTTCTAGCCTATGGAGAAGTTTGACGCTTAGCACAGCACGTGATATAAACATAGCAGACGACTTTTTACACAAGGATTTGTAGGCTTCTCTAATGACTAATGTGTTTTGTTGTTGATGTTGTTTATTGTTTGAAACTTTTCCTTTGTATTTTTTCAGAATGTTTTCTCCAGAAACAACAGACAGTGATGTAAATCATCAATTAAATCCACCCAAAAATACTTCCAGAAGTAAAAAATTGTCAACAAATAAATCAAAACGAAATCTCCATAAGCGTAAGGCTAAGTTGAAGCTTGATCATGACGTACATTATAGGGGTAGCCCTAGTGAACGTACGAAGAAAAGTAAGGACTGACAGTTAGACGTAGCTTAAACTTTGTACTCAAATTATAGTGATAATTTACTTAGCAATACTGCAAATCTTTTCACTAAAATAGCTAGAGATATTTTAAATTGAATGCTATTTACTATGTTAGTATGTATGGATAATTAGTAATGTTGTAACAATCTTTACCATATTAACTATGGTTCTATATTAACTCAATAACTGTCCATGGTATTATGCTACTAATACTATTACTAGTATTAGGGTTAACAATAACAATACAAATACTGAGATAGCGTAATTTTATTTAAGACAACGAAAGCTTAGTTTCTGTTTATATAAGATTACTTATGATTAACTTAAGATTAACTATGGTTCTATATTAACTCAATAACTGTCCATGGTATTATGCTACTAATACTATTACTAGTATTAGGGTTAACAATAACAATACAAATACTGAGATGCGTAATTTTATTTAAGACAACGAAAGCTTAGTTTCTGTTTATATAAGATTACTTATGGGACATCAAGGAGCCTCTTGCCAGTCTTGGTCCATTAAGGTGCTCTGTCACCCAATTTCCCAGAGAAAATCACTAAATCCAACCCTGATCCTCAAAATATTCATAAATCCTTTTCTCTTGTTTTTTTTCTTTGATTTTTAACTTTAAGATAAACTAGTGCTTCCAGTAGGGATTTTCCAACTTTGGTGAGGGGTAGTCCCCCTGTAATTTAGTTAGAGGACGAGTGTAGCACACTCAGAAAATACAACTCAACTTTTACTTTTTGAAATAAATATAAGGTGATAAATTATAATAGTTAAGTACTATTTTTAACTGAACTGACTGGCAATGGGTATAATTAAACCATATATTAGAAACACACACACATACCTGTATAACATATACAGATGAATATAAACAGCAAGTTAGACACCAGCAAAAGTAACATGAAATTGAAGCATAAAATGGCAATTATTTTATTAATTATTTAATACTTCATAATATACTCTTGTATAAAACATTCCTATGACTGTATTTTTGAGGAAGACTTGTTTACAAAAGCATGCAAATGTAGTCTACCTGTTTTTGGCAGAATATGTCAAAGTTAATAACACTAGTGTTAAGAAAGTGATCACTGATTAAAAGTTATCATGGATAGTTCTAGCATTAGTGCCAAATGCAAATGTATTAAATTGAAATGCATGGATAAGTAATGTAGAACTATATTTAATGATAACTATACAATGACACACAATAAAAAGCAGCATCAGGGAAGAAATATACCATACATTATGGCTGATACCTCTAGGTAATGCCTTCAAATATTCCAAGAGAGCAAAGCAAAAAATTTAGTTAGTGTTATTGTGTCATTTATAAATTTTTCTGCATTATAAAATTATATACTATTTAGTACATAAGAAACAGAAATGTTATGCATTTTTCTAATATAAGCCTTAATATATAAACTATACAATGATACGTCTATTAAAGCCAAGCATAGAAGTGTGTTTTCTGTTTCACATTGAAAAAAAAGTAGGGTAGGTAGACAAGTAAGCTTTAATTTCATTTTATCTTTTTTTTTATTTGGACCAAAAAAATGGGTCAAAGGTGGATTGATATTTTGTGACAGGAAATGAATGATAATACTTGTACTTCAATATTTTTAATTGAATATGTCAGGATATAAAAGTAAATTTACTTTTAAAATATAACTTCTCTCTAGCAACTATACAGTTTTAAACAGTTGTTATGTTTTGTTAAATTTTACATGTATAAAATATCTTATGTATTAAGTGTTTTATGTACATTTGTGTAGCATACACATATAATTATTTATATGTCAATTTCTAGTTCTAGTCTACACGTTTTCTTATCTTTAGTCCATTGGATTAGTTTAGATAGCAAATTTATACTTACACATCCTCAACTAATTTCCCTTTGGAAAAGTCATGGCTTCTGGATTTAACAAAATTTCTTAAAAGCTTGAAAGTTGTGAATAAAGAGACTGTAGGACATTAACAGTCAAATACATCTTTCAAAACTTGATATACGTTGGAGAAAATTCTAGGAATTGAAATATTGTTAATGTGATATTTATATTTAACTAGATGAATTCAAAGGACAGAATGGTAAATTATAGAGCTAGTAGTTTTGCTTCTGATTTTAGCAAACATGAAATTTGGTATTCAATAAGCTATACCTACAATAATTTGAGAATGGGATTTCTATGTCACTCAAACTTGCTGGGTTTTTGATGTGACCCTTATGTAGTACTAAGATGCACTAATTTCCAACAGAAAAGTAGCAAATATCTGCAATGTACAGCAAATTCAGAAAATATTAAACACAGAACAAAATTAACAGAGACAACAAAGGGAAAGACTCAAATAAGCATGTAAAATAAAGAATACTAAAGGACTTATTCACATAAACAAAGAAGACATAGTGGTTTTATTATAGTTACTGGCTTCACAGTTCACTATATGACTTCCGGTTACTGGAGCTGGAGAGAAAAGTGTCTTCAAGGGATGGAGATTGGAGCAGAATAATAATAATACCAAACTTTCAAAGTGAAACAAAAGCCCTGTCACATTATCCTATAATCGTAGATTACCTAATTAAGTCAGTAATCATTTCAAGAGAGATAAACGTCAGCTCATAATAACTTGTACAAGTCTCTGTACCACCCCTTGAAATGAGTGTGACCTCAGTCCAGGAAATCATGACATGGAAATTGCATCAAGCAAGTATAAGTCTTACTTGAAAAATCATCTATAACCTTTCGCTAAGCTAGAGGATCAGTGAAGTTTAAAACCTTTTACATCTTGAAGTTGGACAAAAACGTTAAAACAAATAGAAGACAATTGAATGAATAAAACAAAAATCTTTATTAATATAAATCACAAGGGGTACTTCCCTAAGTTGGCTGGCTTCAGTGTTCATCATGTAAGCTGTTTGAAAATAGATTTACAGTTTGTAAATACTACATACATGGCACTACATCAATTATATGCCCACAACAAAGAGAATCTTTATTAATGTAAGCTTCAATATCCAGTTAAAGCTAAATTACATAATTTAAAATATACAAAAGTCAAAATAAAATTAAGTTAAATCATCTTGGGATGAAATTACATGAAACAAACACAAATTCAAAGTAAATGAAATAAAACCAAATACAATCAAATTAAAACAAATGAAACAACATACATTCATGGATTTTAATAAAATTGAAACAAATCAGGATACAATGAAATAAACATAAAATCAAAATTAAACATAACAATTATACAAACTTAATCATGACACCAAAATAATTAAATTGAACACAATGGAATAAAGTGAACCAAACAAAATTAATTTAAAGCAAATCATATAAAAGAAAAACTAACAGTTTACAGAATCATAGCATTAACTAAAGTCAAAGATATCAAGTGAAACTGGAATGAATTTAAGTGAACTGAATCATACCACATCAAACAGAACTAAACAAGGTTTAAGATCAGGATAATGAAGAAATTTGTGATTCAAACCAAAATTGAAATGAAAACTGAATGCAATATCAACTTAAAAAATCAATTCAAATTTTAATAAAAAGTGTACTTAAAATTAGCAAAATTAAATGAAACTGTAAAGTAAACAAAATGTAAATGAGATGTGACTTAAAATCATACTATAGGTAAAACTGTAAAAACAATTAAACACAAACAAGCTTCTGAACATAAGTGAATAAAAAAATAATAAATAGTATATATATATATATATATATATAAATGCTACTTATGCTGTGACTCTCTAAAACAACAAAAGACCCTTAAGTTCCTCTGTAGATTGCTACTTTTTTAATGGTAATATTCCAGAGAGCCTCTTTAGACCTCTAAATGTTGTTTTTAGTAGAACTACTTCAGGCATCAGTTATTCTGAGTGAGCTGCTGGTCAACTTCAATGGATCTTTGTTTAGCAGGTGGCACAGTGCCCAGTCCTACAACCACTGGGTACTGTTATGTATCTGCTTGTTTGATAATTTCCGGAAAAATTCTTTCCGAGAAACTTAAGCAATACAAATCCTTTCTTGATTAAACTAGTTTATTCTTCCCCGATACAAATTTTTAATACAAAGTAATTCCACAGTCAATAGTTCTTGTCACTGAACAAGTTTTATAATACACGCTATAAATCACAGTGATTCACACACTTTGCTGGCCATCACTACTGTTCGCTTCTTTAATTATCTATCTATCTGGCTGGCTTTCTTTGCCAGGCTTATATATTAAAAAGAGGGCTTCTCAATCAGACTAGAGTTGCCGGGCAAATTCATGATCCTTCGAGAAACTCCAGCGCGCATGCTCCCAGCATCACGTGACTTCCGCTGTCGTAACAGTGCCTTAACCTGGCAATGGCATCACTTCATTGAGAACTTGTGGAATGGTGGTTGTCAGCTTTTGTAGGATAACTGGTGTGGCACTGATGCAACTTACCTTGTCTTCTGTGGTTATGAGTGTCTTACTTCTTCTTCCTTAACTTTCATGGTCATAGAAAAACGTTTGGAATCTTATGTACACCCTTTTCATGGCACACCAAATCATAATTCAAT